AATAAATTAATAACTATATATCCTGAATTTAACGAAACTATAAATCTACTATTATATAATACTGTCGAGAATAATTTGATAAATTCTTATTGGTAAGAAAACTATTATATTTGATAGAATTTTAGGGTTAGGAATAATCAAATTAGGATCATTTTTTCAGGTAGTTTAAATTTATTTATGTCACCACTTCTTCTTGTTTATCTTGTTCCAATATTCCAGTATTTACTTCAAGAGTATAAACTCTTGATTAACTTGTTTTGGCTACTACTTGGAATCTTGGTCATAACAAGGTCTTTTTAAAGCATTTTTAGTAATCCATCCAAACTAACTTTCAATTATAACAAAAAAAGGAAAATCATCAATTCAAAATTAATCTTATATGAAAACAGCATCTTTTTACATCCAAATTTTGGACCTTCTTGTCACTCAGAATAGTGTATTATTTTAATAGGCAATAACAAAAAATTTCAGTTTAAGTAATTAATAGCTTATTTTGCAAAAAAAGTTATATAATTTATCGAAAACTCAAAATAAATAACATTATAAATTTTTAGATATCCGAGCAATGCGTTAGTTTTACATGAAAAGAAACCACTTGAAACAAGACTTTTTCACTTCCAAAACATGTACTAATTTCATAGGGATAGATAACAATAAATCAGAATGAGTATGTTCCCTTCTAGATAAATATAAAGACATATATAAATATAATTTCAAATAGATATTCTAGGTCATAGAGTTATCTGATATTTTTATCATATATCTTAATTTTTTTGCCTAGTTAAGCTGGACTTGAAGATTGTATTAATTATCATGTCAAATTTCAATTTCTAAATTAACATTCATTGCTTATTTACTAAACTACGATCATTCGCTAGGTGATTAAATTTGAACCAATTTTACATTTGTGATTAAGTAACAACCTAAATTGGAATGTGAATTTAAAAATAAAATTAAAAACATGATTTTATCAATACATCAATAAATTTTGTGTTTATACTAATTATTGCTATATAATATCCTTTTTAAATATATAAACCAATAAATTAAAAAATAGTTTATTGAAATTGGCTTTTTTAATTAATATAAGGATCTTATGCTCAGAGACTTATTTCATTTTAGTTTTTATTTATAAATCACATTATTTACATCCAAGTTTCTGTGTCTTTCCGCATTAAGCTCATCATAATATTAAAATTATAGTCTTCATCTGATTGCAAACCATTTAAATGTGTCAATCCTACTTCATCACTATCCACAAAACCAAGCAATTAGAAATTTATTATTTATAAATATAATCTTCTTCAGGTAGATTCAATCTTCATTTCTTATTGAGTTATGATCCTTAAATCAAAAGATTTACTTATTTTATGACATCTTAATAAAGTGCAAAATTCAAGATTAACTTCATGTAATAATCTTAAATTAAAACTCTAAATATAATACAGAGAACATTAAATAGGTTTAATCTCAACCGATAAAGTATCATTTTGCTAGATTAGAAATATCAAAGTAGTTGTTTCTATGCAAAAAAAAGAGATAGAAATAGTAATTGTAAATACTATTGTTGTTTTAATACCACCAACAAATTAAAGTCACTCTACTAGCAAACAAGAATAAATTTGATGTCAATAATTATCTGTTCTATTAAAGTTGCCAAAAAACAATCAGTAATTATTAATGTAGTTTTATATAAGGATGTGATTATTTTTTTTTGGTTTGAAAATCATCAACCGTTTCTCCTATGATACAAGTTCTTTAAGAAACACTAAAAATCAAAGTACTTTTTTTGATAAAAAATTAATTAAAAATATTTTTTCATCTGGTTTTTTTCATTCATAATAGATTAATTATAGTGCGTGTATACGAGGACTCCAATTTTACAGAAGTTATTATTGCAGTAAGCCAAAAATAGTATTCAATTACCTTTATCTTAAAATTAAGATTACTTTAAATTGTTATTTATTTAAAAATACATTGAATTTCTATTCTGTATAGGTGAATGATGAAATTGAAAATTTTCTAAATACCAATTTGAAATTTGATCATAAAACAAGGCTTTGCTCAGATTCCGACTTGCAATTCAATATTTTAATATAGAGTAACTTTTCTAAGGATCTATCTGTGGTTGTGTAAGTGGATTTTATAGCTCATTTGTATACTTATAGTATAAGGAAGATTAACAAGTTAGGAGTAATGTAGATGCTAAATTTAAATTTAGATTACCAAGAAGAGATAAAATGGTATTCAAATTAAATACATTTGATAATATTGTGATTTAAATGTAACATAATTCATCTATAGTTATATATTGTTTATCAATTCATAACTATTATAACATAACATAAATATATTCATAGGTTGATAGGCTTCTAAAAACAAATAAAAATGAGATATGATCACTTTTTTCTTATTTTCTAATAAATTTATAAATAAAATATTAATATGGATATTCAGAATTTTATATTAATCTACAAGCTTAAATTGAAGAATTTCATTTGTATTTTTAACTCGAGATAATTGATATTGTATGAATGTGAAAGAAACAGATTAATAAATTCAGTTCTCTATTGCTTGTTTAATTATAAGAGCTATTTTTTGAATGAATGTGAAATATTGATAATATAAAATAGGATAAACGAGGATCATTCTCTATGGCTTCAAGTTATAATATAACTAGATTAGATTTTCTTTAGCTGAAAATTTTTATAGTTGACCGCTGTAATCTATATCTGAAACTTTATTCAATCAAATCAATACTTGAACTATTTGCAAGTCACTTATAAAAAACAGCACTATTCGGGTTATTATTGTTCTCTTGTTGTAGGCAAAGGCAAGAAATATGTCTAAATTTATTTATGTATTTCTCCGGCTTTAAATCATATGTTATTTTGAATTGATATAATTAATTACATAAACTTAAATATCTGATGTATACATCAATAGAAATTGAAGAAAAAATTTGTTAAGTCCACAAATTAGAGATTGTAGGATATGTAATAAGAAACTAGAATTGATGACAAATATTTATGCACTAGGTGTCTAGCTGAGAGAGTCGATAAAGAAAACATGACATTGCTTAATGAAGCTACAGAGATGATATAAAGCATGAAAACCTAATCTTTAAAACTTGCAAAGGAAGAAAATATCCTTAGATTAACTAATTTAATATAATTATAATCATCCAATCATTCAAAAATTAAATCAAGACAGAACTTGGAAAATTACTTCAATCAATTGATCAAAAAATGGAATAGATCCAAATAGATATTGAATCAAAGGAATAAAAGTTAGAAATCAAAAACTATGATGAGGAAATTCAAATTCTATCAAAAAATTATATAGGAAATTTTAGTTATAATATACCTAAACAGCAAACATATAAGGAAAAAGACTTGACCCTTGTGTAATTAATCTATGAATCATTATAATCTCAGTCAAAATCATAACATTATATCTAAATAATGGAATCCATAGATTTAATTAGATCTACTGTACTAATCAATTAATAGGCAAAAATCAAATGATATATCTGCCAAAGAATTTGATTAACATGTAATTTATTGTTTTAATATTAGAAAACTCCTTTTCTTAGTTAAATATGCAATAACCATAATAAAGAAATAATTTTGCTAATGTTAATCATACTGAACCTAAATTTGGTCGATTGGCATGTGTAGAATGTATTCAAGAAAATCCTTTTCAATATATTAGTTTAAAAGAAGCAAATAATATGTGGAATACTTTTATAGGATAATCAGAAGATTTAATTTCAAAACATAATTTCAGAAGAGAAAAAACATTTAAAATGGTTATAGAAGAAATTAAATAACTAAAAGATTATTATAATAATTCATTATCAGAAATGTTGTCGTCAATAGATGAATAGCTAATTAAAAATAATAAAGAGTTTTTAGACTTCCTTAAATTAGAAAATAAATACATTTTTATTTAGATGAAAAATAAATTGAGAAAATGATTGATTTATTAATCTAATAAGATAAAAATTAAAATATTCTATAGAAATAGAAGAAGCAAGATAGACTTGATAAATTATTTTATCAAAATGTCAAATCCAAATTAGAAACCCTTATCAAGCATGATTTACTTTGCAAGTAATAATTGATGACAATTTTATAAGATTAATAAGGTAAACTTAATTGATTTAATTTGAGATAATTCAGACCTAGGAAATAAAGCTGATATTCAAATTACTCCTGAAATACATGAGTTTATATCTAAATGTTAATTGTAGGAATAATGCTTATAAATTTAGAATGAATCAGTTGATTTACAAATAGAATTATAGAAAGAAGCGTAATAGCTTTAGTAAAAAGGTTAACTTGAGCAGTTTATTTAATTTGAAGTAAAAAATGATACCGAAGATTTAAAATCTTCTTTCCTCTAATAATAATATAAATAATATCAAATAATTTCAGAAAAATGAGAAAATTTATAAATGCTGAAGAAAATGAGTAATAACTGTTATTAATTACTAAATAAAAAGAAGAATTGAAACTAAAAATTGATGAGGAAAAATTAGAAATTAAATAAATTTAATAAAAAAATTGTTGATTTAGAAGAAAAGATAAATCAAAAACTCCTCAAATAAGAATAAGAATTTGCTCAATAATGCAGTTAAGAAACAATTTAAAAATAATTAACTAAAGTAAAATTTAATGGAATTGTCTCAGTCAAGCGAAATAAAATTGTAACAATTAACTACAAAATATAAAGAGCTGAATTAATAAATTAATGAAGTATAGACAGACTTAAAAGAGAAAGAAAAATCAGCTACAGTTGAAAATAAACTATAATCTTTAAAAAATAATATAGAAACATAACTCATAACGTTAATTAAAAAGTCAAAAAGTTGTCAGAAACAATTAGAGAAGTAGATACTTAATAAACTAAACAAAACTAATTATAAAAAGAAGACTTGCTTTAAAATGAAGAAAGAATTACAACAAATTAAATTATTGAAAAACAAAATCACTAAGTAGAATAATTTAATGAGCTTAACGTATCTAAATTTAAGAATTAAGAAAAATAATTAGACTCTTTATCATAATCTATAAATAGCGGAAATACAGAGTAATTATCATTTAAGCAGAAACTAAATGAAATAGAAAATAAAAATAAAGTCTATATCCAATAGATGGATGACAAAATTAAAAAATAAAGTAATTAAGTAAAATAAATTAATGCCGAGGTTTAAGAAAATAAATAAATTTAAAAAATGCATTAAGAGGTGTTGAAATGTCAGATATTTTGCTTTAATAATTAATTAATAATTCTTGAAGTAAATGATTTTAGAATAAAAATTTGATTAGAACTATACTTGACAACAAATTATTTTATTTATTTTTACATAAATTAAGGCTTGAGTTATCTTGAATCGGAATAAATATCTAGAATTTATTATCTTGCTTGGAAATTTGGTTTAAATTTAAAATTAATCGAAAAAGCAGGAACTAATTAATTGAAAACAATATGTTATTGTAAAGAAATACAATCTATTTTGAATAGCAAATCAACTTTTAATTTCAAAATGAAGGAAAGGAAACTTTTTTTCTTTTTATGCTTATTAATAATAAAAAAAAACTCTATTTAGTTCACAAAGTCATGTAGTTCGTGTAATAGAAATATATATTTATTTAAGATTAAGGTAGCAAAGATAAGTTAAATTGACAAAAGCAATGGGGCTAAGCTAAAAAATTACTTTTACTAATGAAATTTAATTCTGGGTTTTCTTCTTAATTATGCATAAAAATATAGATGAGTCTTTTGATGATCCTATTAGACCTTAGATCAGCAAGTATTCAATATTATCTTCTTTCTTACTTGTAAATTTCGTAAAATAAAAAAAGTCACAAGATTTTAATATGTAAAAATATAAGATTTAGAAAATTAAAATATTTTGAATATTTAGGTATTGGAAAATGCCCCTATCTTAATTATCTGTCCTATTTATTATGTGCATTAAAAATCTAAAGTTGCCAATGAAATTAAGTTTAAATGGGAATTTTCTGATATTTAAAAAATGCCTAAACTAAAAAGTTACAAAAAATAGGAGGATACTATTATTTAATGACAAAGGAAGTAGTTAATAAATTAAGGATAGATATCTAAATGTCTAACTTTTGGGGATTTGGATTTCTTTAACTGTTGTAGATAAATCTATAAAAAGGGCAAATCGATAGGAGAGATTAAAAATACATTTGCAAAATTGTAATAAAATTTTGACAATATCTTAATAGATATTAGGTTTTAATTCAATTTATCAGAAACTATCAGGATTGGATTAGTTAATTTAAATAGGTCAAGCAAAAGTTCAATTATGAATTAATGTTCTTATGAAGATTGAAATCTAGAAGGACTTATTATCTACCAAATTGATTCAAGAAATTAAATTAGCTTTAATAGATCTATTACGGTATCTGTTACCATTTAATTTTTAAAATTTGAAAAATTCAGAAATTCAATTTCATTAATGTAAAATTTTTTTGGTCAAAGCTCTCTCTTAGATACTAATGTTTTGATCGTTTTATTCATATATACCTAAAATTAAATTGTTGTTCAACAGGGTTTTGTTTGAAAGTGGAGCAAGGTAACCTCTTAGTACATCTTTTGGAATATACATTATATCAAAAGATAAATCATACTTTCAGAATGATAAACTATTTTTTAAATATACGTTAGTTCTCCTATAATTCTGGTTATTCATATCCTCAACAATATTTTTCACCATTATCAAGTTATTACTATGAATTGAGAATCTAATGGAATCTTACCTGTAGATTTTTATATGTTTCGAAATTTTAGGCTGAATAAGTAAAGTTGATTTAGTGATATGAATGAAGCTAACTTGATAAGAAAGTTCATAAAAAATAGGTTGTGAGTTTTTATTGCATTAAAAAAACAACGGTTTTTCTGGATGGCGGTTTTCTTTTTTTAATACAATAAAGATTCTGACTATTTCATTTAAATTCTATAAAAATTTTAAATGAAAAGCTTATCTAGTTCAATCTTTTCCAAAAGTAAAAAGTGAAAGTGGTGGATCTAACAAGTCACAATCTTAAAAATCATACAGGAGTAGATACCTGGCACTCAAAATAATGATTTTCTCCACCTTTCCATTTGTTTAAGGTGAATGGTTTGTTCAAGAACAAACATGAGTAAGCTCACCCTTGACTATGTTACTTTAATTTTTATTACAATATAAATGTAGAGTTCATTAAAAAAATTAAATATTTAGTTTAGGATCATTAATTATGAAAATGATTGCTACTCATTTTCAAATTTTCTATTGTTGGAGTTTTAATCTAGTCAATGAGATAATCAAAATTTTCAGATTTTAATTTTCCTCTTAATTTTCATTTTTGATAGCTCTCTTAAATAGGGTTGTTCCTGATCTATATCCAATCACTCTAAAAGATTCTGTATGGTTGACTATGAGAATTAAATCGCTATATATCCCAGAATTTTTAATTCATCATTTCGATTTTTCACTTTCAATTCTAAAATGAAGATGGCTATGTATATGTTAAAAAGCTGATATGTTAAATTGGATAACCATTTACTAATCCATTTAGAATCAATATTCTTTTTCTTATTAATCATATTCATATACTATTAGATTTTTTCACAATTCAGTATTCGAAAGTTTATCATGAAAACAAAAATTTTCTTAAGGCTCTTTAGTACTTGAATGCTGTTGGCAAATCTTGGATGCATATCTTAGGTTATGAGGTTTAATGGGTTTATACTTCCCTATACACTGACTTTGGGAACTAGTGATTATTACCCAAGAGGCCAAGCCTTTATCAGATTACTTTAGCCTATGGTTACCTAATTGATCATCAAAATTTACATATTCAATACCAAAGATAGAAGCTTTCTTGTTAAAAACTAAACATAAACGCAAAATACTCTATAACAATTTTAATTCTTTAATTTTTATTCCGAATTATTTAAGATAAAAGGCCCGTATTTTATAAATTTATTAGAAATGCGGTAAATAGGTGGAGAAAATTCATTTTTGTTTTTTTACCAATAGCACAGAGAGGGATTTGGAAAGGAAGGTTTCATTTAACTTTTTTGTGTTATGATTACACAGAGATCATGAAAATGCAACTGAAAACTGAATAAATATATAAGGATTGTTTAATATTAGTTGATTAAATATAATTGAGAGCCCTTGATAACCTTTTGTAATATTGTTTGTACATTTATATTTTTCTGAGAACTAACAATAGAATACTAGGTACCAAAATTAAAAAGTAAAAATTTGGACATCAAATAAGTAAAGGATATTTAGAAGAAGGAGCGATACCTTGTTCCTGTATTTAATATAGGGATTATAAGTTACATATCCCCTACTAAATTTTCCAAGTTAGAACTTAAAGAATGAATTTGAATTTAAGCTATTATTTATAGTAAATAAAAGAAAAGACTAATTCATAGGGAATCATTTATTTATAGTTAAAAATTATCTCATTTCCAAATTTCTCAAAATAAAACAGTTTATAAAATTTGCACCTAAAATTTTTCACTGATTTCTTTATTCTATAAATAGCTTTCTTTATGCTCCCATATTTAGATTATTAATATAACCTCTTAAGCGAAAACATTAAAAAAGATAATTTAGATGTTAAATTCAACCTTAAGCAATAGTCTTTTTATGCTAATTCATGTACTTCTGAATGGATTGTTTTTGATGTAAAAGAGGAAGTTTCTGGATATTTGAAAAGTTTTTTGTAAAAACTACAGTTCTCATAAAATTGTTACAAATTTTTCTAAACTGAATAGAGTTAATTAAGTCTCAACAATTCTTAAACTTAAATTTTAGAGATAAAAATCCAGATGAAAGTAAAAGTGATATAATAGGATTAATGAGATTTTCATCATATGATAAAAATACAAGTCACTATCTATGAGACGACTAATCAGTATTAAAAAATAATACAACAATAGAAAAATTTTCAAAGAAAATCGATAATTAGTTGGTAATGATGATTTAAGAATTCCTCCTTCATTAGTTTATAATTATTTCAAGATTAATCAAATAACACAGAAGGATGGGAATTAAATTAAGAAAGGATTTAAGCTATTTAATTTTTATTTAATCAAAATATGCATTTGTTGATAATGTTGGGTTATGTAATGATATTATTCTATCAATTGAATAATTTTAAATCTATTTATCAAGCTTTTCAGTTAAATATGCAAACTCTATTCTTAATATAATTTATGATATATTTTATAAATAAATTATGCTTCATCCTTCTTTGAATAAAAAAATAAGAGCAGACTCGATTGTAAAAAACATCAAATACACAAAGGAGGAAGCAAAATCAATAGACTAAAAAATATAATAACTGAAAGAAATTTTATTCAATCATAAATAGCAAGACTTTGGTTTTGATCAATCGTAAATCAAACGCTATTATAAAAAATAAAAAGGTTACCTACTTTTAATACAGTAAGGAAGCTATAACAAATTATTTTGAGGACCTGGCTTTCTATAAGTCCCCTCCATAAATCTATCAATCATATCATCTATTGTAATGTGGGAATCTAACTCATTAAAATGTCAATAGAATTAAGTTACTACCATTTATTTTTTACTTGAAAAAATCTCTTAAATCCATTCTCCTTTTTTTGTTGAATGAAGGCAGACATTATTCTTCTTAATTCGGATATGGCCTATTTCTAGTTCGTCCATCCTAATTTTTTCTACGCTAATCCTCAACACTAATGCTTGATTAACCACCTTCTTCTTAATTGCCCGACTTATTCAATTACTATTCACCGTCATTCTTTAATTTGGGCAAAGTTCTAATTCTCTATCTTATCTTTCAATTAGATACTTTCATTCTATATAATCAAAGTATTTTTTAGACAGTATATCAAATAGATCGAGCTTAATGTTATCATCCACATGATGAAAAAGGATATGATAAATCTCCCAAACTCTTTTTCTTGCTAGATTAATTACCTAAAGCTTTTCAGAAGGAAATTAGTCAATTATTTTTTAAAGTATTTCCAATCTTCCCATTCCATCACTTTGTCTTTTAGGTTAAAATAATTAAGGTTCTGAAATATTTAGAAAAATTCAAATTACTTTTAAAAGATAAGCAATTTGATATAAATCAAGAACGAAAAAATAATAAGTTATATCTTTATTTAACTTTTTAATCTGATTGAATTATAATAGTAAATTAATTACTTGGCAGAAATGATTGGTTAAATAAGATTCCTAATTTTATTGTAGAACATTAACCAAGTTAATACTTACACATCATCTAAGTGTATCTGCAAAATTAAATTAAGTAAATTTAAAAATAATTATTAAAATTAACAACATTTTATTAGAGTAGATTAATTATACTGTATACAGCTTGAAATTAGAAGAAAATGAAGTTAAGTTATTGATCATTTATTAAACTCATCTTCTAATTAAATTACATAATTTTCAAATAAGCAAAGTTTGCAATAGAGTAAAATTGTAGAGTTTTCAAATCTAAACAAACTAGTAACCACACACATTTTAGATTTTATCAAATAGCTTTAATTATCAAGAATTTCATATTGAAATATTAGAAATCTTAACATATTAATAAAGGCAATCAAAATTAATATGAATGGATTAAAACATTGAAACTTTTAAAATATAAAAAGTAGATTGAATTATTTAATTTATTAATATTAATTTTTTTAATTATGTGTTAACCAAAAATGATAGAATTAGAAGAAAAACTCAATTTTTGTCAGAATCATTAACAACCTATCCTGATGGTCTTATTAGATTAACACTACAAAAGAGAACGCCTTTTATGCTCGATTTGCATGGAAAATTTTGAAGCAAAAACTAAAATAATTGGATTAAAAAAATTACTTAAAATGATCTAAGAAAACTAAAAGACTAAAGTAGAAAAGATCTAAGGATTGATTAAAGTTGATTTGGATTTGGTAGAATCATTTGTTAATGAAATACAGAAATTAAAGTCAAACTTTATTTTAAAATTTGATAAATGAATATCTAATTCATCAGAATGGATCAATAATCTTTAAAATATTGGTTAACAGAATTAAAATTATAGTTTTTTTTATGAATTAGAAATGATAATTAAGAATAAAATGCAAAACTAAGTGAAGTAAGAATAAATTATTGATTAAATAACTACACTTAATAATTCACTTTGTATCAAAGTTAATGAGAAATTATCTGCTCTCAAGAACTAAGAATTATATTCATATTGTGAGAGAACTTTAATCAATTTAAATTTAGACCATCATATTAAATTAATAGATGATTCAATTAAATAAACTGATACTTGTTTTGCTATATCTTTTAATTAATCTGGATCGCTCATGATCTCAGCGTCTAATAGTGACATTAAAGTATGGAATTTTGAGCAAGGAAGAATGAATGAAATTAGCACAATTAATGGACATACTTAAACTATATATTGTCTTCAATTTAGTAAGAATAGCAATAGTTTTTTATCTGCCGGTTTTGATAATTCTATTTGATGTTGGAAATAAGTTAATTAAAAATAATGGAAGAGTTCTTAATCTTATTTATAGCATACTAATTGCATAGATTGCTTAATTTTAAATCAATCTGAAAATTAACTTGTTTCTGGAGGAAGAGATAATTCAATCAAAATTTGGAAAATAGATTTTGTTAATAATTAATTAACCTATTTTTATTCATTAGACAAACATAAAAGGAACGTTTATAGTTTATGCTTAAATCAATATGAAGATACTTTGGTTTCTTGTGGCGAGGATAAGTAGCTAATAATTTGGAAATAAGATAATAAACAACAATGGAAATTTGAATATGAAGTTAATGTCATTGCTAGATAGATTTAAAAATTATTTAATTTAATTAAAATAATAATATAAAATAATTATTTTATAATTATTAGGAATCAAAAAAAGGGTTATAAAAGAATTGGATTTGGTCAATTAGTAAAATCAACATAAATTGAGTGGAATATTACTAACCAGTCCATCCAAAACCTATTCAACTTCTTAAGATGGGGACAACAGTGTCTTATGTCATGAATAGGGTTATTAAGGATAAGGACATAGAATCTATATTAATTGAATATAATATAATAAATAATAGTTTTACAATATTAATATTTTTATAACTGAAGAAAAATAATATTAAACAAAACTCATTTATTTTACAATTTATCATCTCAATAACTAAGTAAATAAGGTGTTATTAATAACTATTAATAGCATTAATTTTCTAAAGTTTAATTATAAAGATTAGTAACTTGTAATAATAATTGGCTCAATTGATTTTAAAAATACTTTTATTAGTTTTTGAAATCATACTTAATTTCCTTCAATTAAAAAGGATTCAATACTATAATCTTGAAATTACGTTTACTTTCTCTTTGAGTTAAAGTTTTTTTATTGAAGCATTTACAAATTGATTGCACTAAAAATTAAGAATAAAAATTTTGAATTTCAAAAGACTTAAGACAGTTTGTGAAGCTAGTTATATATTTAAGAATTATAATAAAATCTGGCTAATGGGAAAAAATTACTTTTTTTTTAGAAATTTTAAATTGAATGCTCTCTTTCTTGAGAAATATATTGGCTTTTTAATTGATTTACGATTAACCAACATAGGCAATCAGTATGTTATTTATTGAATTCTGAGTTCTTGCATTCTATACCGTTTGTTTAATCAAAACCATCCTACAAGAAACAATTGCACCTTCTCCACAATGAATTGTATCAGTGAGCCCAATAAGGGTAGTAAGTTCATTAAAAATTTAATAATTAATTTAAAAAATAAAGGCTCATATCATAAATGATCCAGATAAATTCAAAGAAAATGCATAACATTCATCTGTTTTTTTAATTATATTATCCTATAATTTCATATGGGTGATATGTCTATGAATCAACTTTTAGCCATGTAAAAATAATATCTAACATTGGAAAATCACAATTATTAATGAGAAAGTAATGATACCTTATTTCAATGTAAGGATGAGTCAATACTTTAAGATCTATGCAGAGATTTAATGTTGTGTAATATTAGGTGAAAGTTAGGTACACAAAGAAAGTTGGCTATTTCTACAATTGCTAACAACAAAAAAATATCATATTTCTCCTATTACTGTCAGATAATAATATATTGTTTCGATTTAGTTAAACAAATTAAGCAATTAAACCAAACATTCCTTCATTTTAATTATTTTCAAAAGTGATATTATTTTGCACAAAAGCTTTGATTTGAACCTATAGAACAATAATTATTAAATTGAAAGTATTGCAAAATCTCCTATTTTCATAAAGTAAGCAATATTAATAATCGAAGTATTAAGTTATCTCCCTTTTGGAAGAAACATTTCAAAAGATACTAAAGAAACAATAGAAATTCAAGTATGAAAAGAACAATCATTTTTTTTTGACTAAATTTGATTGGTTTTAATTAAACAGAAGTTGTCCAAAAAAAATTGTATTATAACTTTTGATAAATCATTAGAATGTTTATGAGCTGTGATGACTAATATCTAAAACTTAGATTTTTTAATATTTAATATACCTCCACCTTCTAATCTTTGGAATAATATATCTGATTTTGTAAATTATTTGATGAAGTTTTAAATGAATACTATTTAAGAATCATCAATTATTTTATTAGACATATTCTTGTAATTAAAAAAAAATAGTAAGTTTGAAACTTAGACAAATGACATACTTTCAAAAGATATTATATTTTATAATTAAAAAGCCAAATTAGATGGTCATACTAGCACTGTCTGGTCAGTTTGTTTCTCTCCTGATGGAAATACATTAGCTTCTGGAAGTAAAAAAAATGGAAAGTTTTATAATAGATATAGTATCCAAGAACTTATTTAGTGAATAAATATTATTCAAAAATTTATATTAAACTCTTTGGAAGATATTTGCGTTTGTAAAATGTATAATTTTAAAATGTTAAGCTTACTAATGCCCTAATCAAATTTCATCAAATTATTCCTATTTGAAGATTACTGTGACATATCTAAATTTAAATTATAGAATTGCTGGTTATCTCGGAATACTAGTATATAAGCTACTCAATTAATATTAATAATTTAAATAAGCTATACTATTTCATTTCAAATTCTTCAAAAATTAAAATGAGAATACACTATAAGCTAATTAAAATATGTATCATCCTAGTAAAACTTTTTTAACAATTCAAATCTATTTTTCGTGTGCCTAGAAAAATTAATAGAATATAATTGTTTTATCAAATTCAAATCTCTATTTTTTGGTGCCATAAGGGTCAAGCAAATTTTTAAAAATATAAAATTTTCTTTTCAAATTAAGATGAAAAAATTAAACAATTTATTTAGAAGAAGCACTCACAGATTTATTAGATTTATGAAAATAGCCAAACATCTGAAAAAATAATATTAATACACCAAAGATAGTCAATTATAATTTAAGAAATATAATGAGGAGTAAAAATGAAGCTTTTCAAATCTTTGAGAAAACTTAATCAAATCATATCTAACCTTTGTGTGAAAATAGTAAGATAGAAACTGTTTAAGAATAATTATTTGCATATATCTAATAAGGGCATTAAAACAATAGTCAGCAAATGATTATTTCCAAAAGGCATGGCAGATTAAACTAAAAAATGTAGATTTGATGCTTACAAAAAGTATATAATAAATTTTTTATTTGAAGATTTAAACATAAGATTTTTGGCAGGAAAGATATTTTTTAATTTTATTAATAATAATCCATTTATTCAAAAAATATTGATTTTTTCTCATCCATATAAATACAAAATATATAAAATGTGTATTTCACCAAATATTTTATTGAATTAATTCATTAATAAGTATTTTAAATAATGATTGTTCCACCCTTATTGTTTTAATTGATGTTACGAATTCATAATGACAATGTTATACTTATACTTAAATGATGATGGGGGTTTCGTACACTTTAAATCAACTTCAAATTTACAATTACATAACAGGCACTAAATCTCCAAAAAATTTTACAACTCTAAATAGTACAAATCCATCAGCCCAATATATTAATACCAAACATTTAATAACAGGTATTCTTTTCTGCAGATAAATATTTTCAAGGTATAATAACATACATAGTCTGTTATTAATACATGGTCATCTGAAACTGTTACAATTAAGATAGAATCATTTTCATACTCATATCAATACACTTCTCCTTGTAAATTATGTAATAACTATTGATATTCTTTATCAAGTTAATTTTATTTATGGAAATGCCAAATTTAAATTATGCTAGGTTGTAGTTTACATCATCAAATAAAAATGATGGATAAGTTTCAATTAGAAATGTGTTTGTTTCAATTCTCAAATGTTACCCATCTTATAAATAATGCACAGGACCAAAATCTAATTAATGTACAAATTCTTATTATAGATTACCTACAAAAAATATTTGTCCACCCTGCCCAACTAATTATGAAAAATACTATGGATGCAGAGATATTTGTAATATAAACTCCATTATATACTAATGGATTTTGTTAATTATATCTAAATTCTTTCTTTGCAAATGCGATAGTTCAATATTAGTAACCTTAATGGTTTATTAAAATGACCTGGAACCTGTAGACAAATCTCCAATAAAAATAACTTCTGATTGTTACGGGATTTTTAAGTTTAATTCTGGTATATATAGATTTCGACTAATTATCTACTTATTCTTATTCAATTTATTCATTTGAGTTTTAGATTATAATGTAAACTTTTAATATTATTCCCCTTAATTTTGGAGTATAGTTTTTGATTATGGAAGTATTCGAATAAAATATCGAATTATTTAGGAATTAATAAGGGAATTTATTCTATTAATCAATTTAAGAACTCTATAATAGTACTTATTTTGCTTAAATTTTTAGAAATGAATCAGGAATTCGAACACCTAATAATAAAATCTCATCTTTAAATTATACTTCAAATATCTAATATTCATTCATTACATACGTTGACCTTTCTAAATATCCATTTCTTTTTTCAGCAATAGGAAATTATTCGTAAATATTAACATATCAATTTGTGAAGACAAAATAGTAACAGAAGATTTTGAAATGGATAGGAGAAATTTTTGAAGGCAATAATTTCTGAATTTTGTATTAAAAATCATAATTTTACCTCCAAAAATAAATAAAAGCATTGTGAATTAATTATGGCATATATTAAGGCAACTAATTAGTAACTAGTAATATAAAATATAACCATAACAAAAGACACCTTAAATATTAAAAATAAGATTATGAATAAAAAAAAAATGAGAAACAAAGCCTAAGCTTCTTACAAATATAGAAAATGGCTCATATTATTAAATAAATAAAATATTTAAAAAGATCAATCTGAAGGATGAATAATAATTAAAAAACACAAATATAGAAAATGTTACAATTAACACTCCCATAGCCAAATCTTGAAAAAAAAAATTTAACCTATTCAAATAAGAAAATTTAACTCTAATAAAAGTAAGTTAATTAAATTAGTGTGTAAATATTAAAGAAGATTTCGTTAAACAATCCTAAATTGGAATAAATTAACATATTCATACTAGTTATAAATATTATGTTAAGTAGAAATTATTAAATAAAAATAATTTCCAAAAAAATGAGATCAATTAAAACTTACATTAGATGAAGTGATTAAATCAAAATTGCGATAATAACACTATTTACAATAAATAATTATTTAAATAAAACCATATCTTGAATAACAATAATAATTAAAAAATAAAGTGACCTATGATGATGATGAGTAAAAAAAAAAGAATTATAGAGAATATATTTAGGTTAAAATCAATCCTTGAATGATAATATGGCATAACTCAACCAACTGTTGAGTTCACATATAATGAATTAGTGCCAATCATAATAATGACTAAGGAATCAATTAATATCATTTTAGATTAATGAATAAATGTATTGCATTCTTACAAAAAATATATATTTTAAGTATTGAGAGAGTTAATATTTTTTGCTTTTTAACCTCGCTATTTAAGTTTAATCTATTAGTGTAATTTTTTTATTAGATAGGTCACCACATATAACCATAATAATCCTAATATCAAAAAGAATAAATATTTATACTATTTCTGCTATTCTAAAATTATATCAAAGTGAAAAAAGGGATATCAAGTAAAAAAATCGTGGAGAAATTACTAAGGATAAACTCTTTAATTTATTTCGAAATCATTTATATTAGTTTAAAGATTATCCAATTCTTCGTTTTGTGCACCAAACAAGTATTTATTGAAAAAAACATAATGAAATTTGATATTTTTTAATTTAAATAAAATATAAGATTAATTCTTATAGATATGATAAACTTAATACTTTTTTGTGGGCCTTAAAAGAATGCAAAAATATTTATTAAACAATACTGGTTAATCATTTTGCTGTTAATTTTTAATAAATTATATTACTATTTATTTATATTGAACATTGAACTAGTCAATTTATAAACAAAAACCCAAACTTAATCAATAACAATAATTATAACTTATTTTAATTTTTATTATGATAATTCATTTATCATAATTCACAATGCCCCTAGTCTAATTTTTTCTAATTTCGATTTCCATCCAAGATCCAATCTTTTTACCATCTCTATATACACCTTTATAAACCAGTTATTAGAACACAATAAACTACTCTTTTACATCAATCCATTCTCCAACCTTCAAAGAGTCTTATTCATTGTAAGATCCACCACCACTAAAAATTGATATAATATTGTATTCTAATTTTACATTTGCACATTTTAAAAATCTCCATAATTCTTCTTCAAATAACTACTCCATTTACCAACCTTCTTACCATTTTTATACCCTCCATTAAATGTGACCTAAGATCTATCAAAAAATTCATCACTTAATTCAATCCAATTTCCTATTTTCACTGATGTACTTTCATCATATACTCCACCACCACTAAAAATTTTATTGGTAATATTTTACATTTAAATAAAAGGCTGGTTTTCATTTTCTCGATAACAAATATCCCACTTCCCTATTTTCTTACCATTTAAATATTAACCTTTTTTAATTATTTATGCAGCTCCATAAAATCCATCACATAACTCTATCCAGTTCCCAATTTTATTAGAATTTTCTTTATTATATAATCCACCACCACTAAAATTTTTAAATATTAATATAATTTTACACTTATTGTCCAAATGCTTCAATAGTCCACAAATCTATTTTTTTACCATTTTTATATTCCCCCTTCAAAATAACTTAAGAATTATCCCAGAATCTTTCACTCTATTCAATCCATTTTCCTATCTTAAAAGAATATTCTTCATCATATAAACCACCACCACTGAAAAAGTATTATAATAATTACATCTAAACTTTTATTTTATCATCATAATCTTTTTTCCACCAAATATCCCATCTACCAATCTTCTTACCATTTCTATATTGTCCCTCATATGTGACTTACGAATTGCAATAAAATCCATCGCTCAATTCAATCCATTTCCCATTTTTATTCGAATTCGCAATATCATCATTGGCTTTAATGTTTGCAGAAAAAGGTAATGATTTAACTTAGAAACTTTCCTAGAAGAATGAATAATAAGGATATTCTTGGAATAACATATTTTAAGGATGATAATCCTCATATTATCCACCACCACTTATATTTTATATTTTAATATTACATCTCTACTCCTTCATACTGTATCACCCATCTACCAACTTTTTTTCCATCTTTATATTCACCATTATAAATTATTTAAGATTTATCCCAAAAATTTTCACTCAATTCTGTCCATTATCCAACCTTCTCACCTTTCTAATTATATTTACCACCATTACTAATTTAGTACATATATTTTTACATTGTTTTATCCTAATAATTATATTTCCAATCTCCTATTCTTAAATCATTATCATACTCACCTTCTTCATACACCTGAGCTTCCCTATTATATTTTTAAATTAAGCTAACTTCCAATAATTCTAAAATAATTCTTTCCACTTGCCATTTTTTTTTCCATCATTGGTGTATTATCCTCCTACACTATCCAAAGTGTTACCCATCCACGTAGCTATCCATTTTCCTATCTTCTTATTATTATTTCCAAAGTCCCCTTTCCATAATAAATATTAAATCTACTCTAAGTTAGTTAATATTTCTGGCCTTATAGAAGTATCTTTTATTTAATCGCTATTTTAATTTAAATATAAATATTACTACCTTCTTATTATGGATCCATCAAGAATATATTGAATTTAGTTATTATTTTATAAGTTTATTAATAGTTTAGTTCTTATGAATCTAGAACCGGACCAAAATTCAGTTTCTAATTCTTAAGGAAACTCTTACTATTTTAAGCCTTCCTTTTCTAATCCTAATTATTATTATTGATTTTAATCTTAAAAATTATCAATTAAAGGTTTTTAAACATTAATTTTTTTAGGTTAAACTTATACTAGAATATTTTATTCCAATGCATTTTTATTTTCTGGTTAATCTTTACTTAATTCTAAATAATGAATATTTTTCATGGTTTGACAATATTTAAAGATTTCAAGAAGTTATTTATTTGTCTCACTCCAATTAGGGAATTATAATAAATGATCTATTTTTGTTAAATCATTTGCAAGCAAATTTAATTATGATATTCGTAATTTTTCCATATTCTCTTAATTGATTTCCTTTTCTTAAAAATTATTAACAAATTGAAGAATATTAATTAAGTCTTAGCTCAATTTGATGAATTTTTTTATTTCTGGTATAGAATTCATTCTGCTTTTAATCCATGATTAAATTTATTCAAATGATATTAAAGATGCAACATGTTTTGAATGTAATTGTTGAATGCACGAATTACAATATGGTCTTAGTGAATGACAAGTAGGATCAAGGCAAATACCATATATTGGCAGTTATGAATGATCAATCATTGTACAATATTGCTTTTACATTCTTTAACGGATTAATTTTGTAAATAATAATAAAATTTTTAGCTCAATTTTAATGATTTATATTTACCTATTTTCATCACCATAAGCAATCAAACTACTTTGAAGAAAATGAAGTATAATAATAAATCTACTGAAACTATATTTTAGTTGAAATTCTACTATTTCTAATTTTGGCTGTATCTAATTGATTAAACATATATAGGTTTATTAAATAGAGTTTATAATATGATATAATCTTTTAGAATCACTCAATTTAAACAATTTTGGTAAGAAAATTATAAATTCTCGTTTATATTACAACTCGTTATGTATATATATTTAAATCAAATATAATTGCATAAAAATATAATAGTATTGTTTTGTTCATTATACATTGTTTCATAATATTGTGAAATCAGCTAGCAATAATTAGGTAGAGTTAAAAGTTTATATTTATATGCGAATAATTAATTGAGTTACAATAATGGCAAATACAGAAAATAGTTTTTAATCAATTTAAATCTTTTATTTTTCGTTTATAATTCAATAGTATTTGAGAAAATTCTTTAGACAAAATTTATTAATTCTAAATTAAAGCATACATCTCATTTCTTATTTAAGTTACAAGAAATGATTTGAATTCTCAAATACAGCAAAATCATCTATATTTCAGCAAGATAAATATAGAATTGATAAATTTTTTATGTTAATATTAATAAATTATTAAGAGAAAAGTAGTTTTGATAAAATATTCAATAACAAGTTAACATATTAAAAATTACTTATAGAACTTACTTTTGGGTAAAATATTTTTATCTTACTCTGAAATAATGTAAAAGATTTAAGTGGCTTAAGTAAGATCAATATTTATAGACTTAAAATTGGGCTTAAAGTGAGAAATATGAAGAATTATTGATATTCTAACAATGGTAAAAGTAACTTTGAATTAGAAAATAAGCAATTTTACTATAAGTAAAGGGAGACAAGGATTGTTTTTGCCTTTTAGAAGATTGAAATTTTGTGTCTTGTTGAGAATGAAGAAATCTGTTAATTATGGTTAATTAGATTGAATAGAAAGGAACTATTGTTATGAGACTTTTCCTAAAACTAGAAACTAAAGTTTTGGGCTTTTAATCATAAATATTATGGGTATATTTTATTTAAGAGGTTTGGTTAATACAACTTTTTCACTACCAAGCTTTTTTAACTCCTAACAAAGATGTGATTGACTACTTTTTCATGGAAAAAGTATAAATTTAATTAGAAATGTAGTTTCATTCATTTATTAAGTTATCGTATTTACATTTATTTAAATGATAACACTTGGTTAATCTTAATTACTAAAATTTGTTTATAAAGATATATAAAAAAGATTTAGTAATCAAATTCAAAGCTAACATGCTAACAAAATAATCAACTGGATTAATTATACACTGTTTGTTATAACTAATTCTATACAGAATTCAGACTAAATTGTTTTAAATGTTTAAAGTATGAAATAATCCTTCATGATCATTTTAAAGATGCTGAAAAATCAACACTTTAATCACTTATATCGAAAANTCAATTTAAATCTTTTATTTTTCGTTTATAATTCAATAGTATTTGAGAAAATTCTTTAGACAAAATTTATTAATTCTAAATTAAAGCATACATCTCATTTCTTATTTAAGTTACAAGAAATGATTTGAATTCTCAAATACAGCAAAATCATCTATATTTCAGCAAGATAAATATAGAATTGATAAATTTTTTATGTTAATATTAATAAATTATTAAGAGAAAAGTAGTTTTGATAAAATATTCAATAACAAGTTAACATATTAAAAATTACTTATAGAACTTACTTTTGGGTAAAATATTTTTATCTTACTCTGAAATAATGTAAAAGATTTAAGTGGCTTAAGTAAGATCAATATTTATAGACTTAAAATTGGGCTTAAAGTGAGAAATATGAAGAATTATTGATATTCTAACAATGGTAAAAGTAACTTTGAATTAGAAAATAAGCAATTTTACTATAAGTAAAGGGAGACAAGGATTGTTTTTGCCTTTTAGAAGATTGAAATTTTGTGTCTTGTTGAGAATGAAGAAATCTGTTAATTATGGTTAATTAGATTGAATAGAAAGGAACTATTGTTATGAGACTTTTCCTAAAACTAGAAACTAAAGTTTTGGGCTTTTAATCATAAATATTATGGGTATATTTTATTTAAGAGGTTTGGTTAATACAACTTTTTCACTACCAAGCTTTTTTAACTCCTAACAAAGATGTGATTGACTACTTTTTCATGGAAAAAGTATAAATTTAATTAGAAATGTAGTTTCATTCATTTATTAAGTTATCGTATTTACATTTATTTAAATGATAACACTTGGTTAATCTTAATTACTAAAATTTGTTTATAAAGATATATAAAAAAGATTTAGTAATCAAATTCAAAGCTAACATGCTAACAAAATAATCAACTGGATTAATTATACACTGTTTGTTATAACTAATTCTATACAGAATTCAGACTAAATTGTTTTAAATGTTTAAAGTATGAAATAATCCTTCATGATCATTTTAAAGATGCTGAAAAATCAACACTTTAATCACTTATATCGAAAATAAAAATTACGAATGTGATAATTTTATTGATGATGTCATAAAAAGATATAGAAAGTTTGAATCAAACATTTTCTTTGTTAAAAAAGGGAATCTAATTGAAATATTCATTAGATAAGGGATAATTAGTGAATTTGAATTTACAGTAAATAGTTTGAACTTAATTGAATACAAACAATTAATTTCAAAAATCATTTTAGAATAGATTAAAAAAGTAAATGATACATTTAATAATTTATATGGATTATTATAATTATACTTCATTTAATATTTTTAAATTAAAGTATCCGCTTTATTATGCTCAAGTTGTTGTTTTAGATGTATAACCTTAGCTGTTTGATTTATAATAAATATGATATACATTCTAAATGAGTTGAAAAACTAGCTGTTGCAATATAATTACATTCTCTTTATTTGCAATTTGCATCAATATCATCATCAACTGTGCAGTCATCACATCTAGTATCTTTTAGATTGTTAAACAATGAATTTGCATTAACCAACACCAAAACAAAATCATTCAATATTCTTTTATTGAGCCCAATCACTTACTATAGTTTTTATAGTTTATCCAGTACATGAATTACAAGCACCTACAACAATGTAAGTATATCCTGAAAAGTATGTACATACACCAGTAGTGAATATTGCACATTAACATGCTGATAATTTATTTCCTTGTACTTCCTTTGTTAATATATGTACATCTAGAATCTAGAGAGTTTTTAAGATTATTATTGCAATATTTAAGGTTATTATCTTCTTAATATCTTTTTGGAGTATATGAAGTATATGTTTTTTGTTTAGTAAAACAAATTAAATATTGGTATATAATGACAAGAATTACATCTCCACAATTAGTACCACTAGTCCATGAACATCTTTTTCCTTTCTGATTTACTCTTATTTAACAATATGTTAACTCAGTATCAACTGAGAGACTGTCATAAAAAGAACAAATTACAAAATTGCTTAATAGAAGCAATAAGGAGGTTGCATCAATACATATATCTCTCGCTTCGCAACCAGTAGAATTAGTAGTATTTTTCTTGCATCATAATATTTTTCTTAAATCACAATCTGTGTAATGGCAGCTGTTATTGCTGTGTATGAAGCTAGCTGGATTATAATAAATAGCTCTACATGATAAAGAGGCATAAGCAAGTCCCCCAGCATCATCATCTTAAATATTTACTATAATTCCCCCCAATCAGTATTTCCAGTAATACAACTTCCTTCATTACTATTAGCAAAAGGGTTTTAAGAACAGTATTCATCTACTGAATCAGCATATATCTTCTAACAAAAGTATTATTTTTCATCGAAGGAAATGTTTAACTGGCACATAAAACACCTGCATTTTACAACTTTCTGTTCCTACATTGCAATCTGCTTATGATTTTTGTGATGAAATAATATTACAAGCAATATGCACATTATTTCAGAGTTCCGATATAATAGAATTCAAGGCTGATCAATAAATAACTTAACATGCAACCATTCTGGTAATTGAATAACCACAACATTAATACATTCATTATTTAAAATTCACATTTTTCATCATCTAAAATTTTATTACATTCTGTAAAATTGGCTGATGAAATGACTTCTTTACAAGTGTCTATATTAGAGCATTTCGTTGTGCTTACACCTGCATCAAATCATCATTTATTTGGAATAATTGCTTAACAGGAATTTTGATTTACAAGCCGTTGTTTCAGTTGCATTCATATCATTTGTACATTTAGTATAAATGATCCACAATTAGTATTAGAGACAAAAATTGAATTCCATCCAAAATCATTCTTCCCATCACTAGTAACATATTTCACAGTATCTTACAAAGAGTTGATGATGCACATCCTGCTCCATTTTACACATCCACTTTTTATTCTCCACATTATACTTATGATATTAATGATGCCAGAGTTTTAGTAAAAACTATATCTGCACATTTTCCACTCATTCCAACTATAATATTTTATATTATCAAAATAAGCACCATTGTTGAGATTCGACACTCCAGGGCATTTTATTATAAAATCTAGATTTTCTTTGAGTAATTAGAAATATATATATATATATCTATTCATTAAAGTTAACAAGATTATTTTGTGTCTAAATTTGAGACTTCTAAAAATTACTAAATCATTTAAACAGCAATTATTACAATTCTTATTACTAAAGTTCTCTCAAATCAACATGATTCCCAAAACTTCAAAAGTTTAATATTATAGTATATTTATTTGAAAGAATAATTAAAGAAATGTATTTTTAATTTAATAATCAGTACTTAAACTTTTTTTTCAATATCATTATTAACCATATAAGTCATGAAGAACATTAGTTATCGCTGATGCTAGCTATAATGATTAACAAACTGTATATAATTATAAGCTCCTAAGCAATTATGCTGTAAATGTTGCTATGTTATATAGTCCAAATACCGTAAAAAGCAGACATTTATCAGAAGTACTTCGTTATTGAAAGTATGAAATTAATCTATAAACAACTTTATTAATTTGTTTACTTATTTCAATAAGCCTTGTTTTCCAAAAACAAGATATATTATGAACTAGTGAAAAAGGAAGTGGGTTAATTTTGTGGTAGATCAACTGCTTCAATTATAGATGCTATTATTAATTTATTAAAATAGAGAGAGTTGGCACTAGTTTATTCAATTATTATATTTTACTATAAACCAAAATAATTTAATGAGTAATTAGTAAAAATAATCTTCAATTCTTATATATTTTATTTTTTGCTCACATAATAATTTTATATTTCATATTTTCTTTTCTAAAACTTTTCAAAGCCACATTAAGATAGAAATTTAACAAAAATACTCATTTTTAGTTTGCTATCACAAAATACTTTATCACATAAAACTACTATTAGAGTGATTGCATTCTGATGATTTACCTAGACCATAAGTTTTTGTTAATTTCTGAAAATTAATTAATAACCTATTACTTCGATTATGTAACATTTAAATATTCATTAATATAATTAACAGTTTGGAACTTTATAAATTGAGATATTTCCAGTTAATTATTTAAGAAGAATAAGTGAATTAAGTTTACGAATTCAAATTAAAAGTGGACAACAATTAGTAGAGATTTTCTTAAATAAATATACTAATTTAAAAACACTTGTTAATTAAAAGTAGTCGTGTTTTTATAAATTATTGCAGGGATTTATTAGAAAATATTAAATTCCAATCAATGAATGTGAGTCTTTTTTAATTCTAAATATAGAAATTGAGAAAATTTTGTATAAATTATTTTCATTAGACTTACACCATTTCAACTAAATCTGTTATTATAATACTTCTTTTTTGGAATTGACTCATAAAATTAAAACTGAAATTTATGTATTATCAACCGAGACAAAAAATATTTCTCATTTTTAGATAAAATATATCGAAAATTGGTTTTTTCTAATATTACATAAAATCAATACTCAAAAAAATATCATTAAAACCTTATTGATTATTAATATCTCATTTTTAATTCCGAAAAAATATACTTATAAGCGATGCTATGATTTCGATCTTTTTAATTAACACATAATCAAAGGGTTGCATATAAAATCATTCTATTACATTGTTATTCATTAAGTAAAATCAATTTTCTAATTTTTTACAGGATCGCATATCTAGTTCTTCACAACTTTTATAAGAAAATGTCAAATATTTATTAATTCTATACTTTGTAATCTTTATCTGTAATGAATATTACTTTAAATTTAAATATTGATATTTATTTATTTTTATTGATGAAGTAGATTTATTAATTATCTAATTGGATATTTGAAGAATTAGTGAAGTTAATAAGATATTAGTTGAATGGATAATCCATTAAGGTAGGATGGTCCATATCCATAAACACAGGTTACTTCCAAGCTTGAGTCCAACTAAATAATAATCGAAAATTACTGAATAGAAAGTGGAATCTTAATAAACATTAACATCACAGATAATTTATTAGGCACTTTAATAGAGACCTTAGCAGATGTTTAAGTCGAAGTAAGTGAGATTTTAGACACCTAGAACACTGATAGTGAGTTTAGTAAGGATGAAAGAGTTAAAGTGGATTAAATAAGGTAAAATGTTAAACTTGAAAATTCTAACATGAACTGGTCCTATGAAATTATATATGGGAGGATTGGAGTAGTATTATTCGGCAATTACATAATTGGAATGGTTTTGGATGGAAATTTGTATAGACTGAATCTCCAGGGAATTTATTAGTTGGGGTAAGATAACTGTGAAGTATGTGAACTTTTCCTTAATTAGTACTACAATGCTTAATGGTGCTCTAATAAAGTTTGAGAGAATGAGTCATATTTTAAATCAATTTAATTTATTGTTGTTTCTCCCTATTTTAAGATTTGTTGAGATCATATGTTATTTAAATCAAAAATTCTCTTTAATTAGAAAACTATTTAGAAGCCAAATCAAATGTATTATTGAAAAGGCTTTTTTATTAAATGACTAAGATATTTAAGCCCGCTTAAGAGTAAAATGTATATTCGTTATTTCAAAAAATATTATAATCAAATAGGATTCATTTTATTAATATAAAAATAATTCACATAGAAATAAGTCAATTAACTTCTGATATATAATTTCATAAAGATATTGGAATAATAATTATAGTTAATAAATTTTTCAATAATCTAAATTAAAATAAATAAATATTAAATAATTTTAAGTTTTGAGTTCGGAGGTGAAAGAATTAATCTTAAAGATATTATATTGCACTTAGCGTAAACAGGCAAATTTATAGATTCGAATTTTAGGTTGGGATTTTTACTATGCTACCTATTTATAAAACAATATTTTATAATTTCCTTCATTTTGTTTTAAATACTTTCATAAATTAAGGTAGATTTAATTTTTGCTTCAATTATATTTATTTAAACACCATTTAATATTTTTACTGTATCTGAAATAATTCTAGAGGATATAATGTTCCTAAACAAGTAATGAAGTTAATTAATATTTTATTGTAGCTTTTCTTACATCAAATTTTAAAATTTGATCACTGACATAAAAACTCACAAAAGAAATGTGAAAATACTCCCTTATTTGTATTAAACAATGATTATTATATTATTATTATAAAATGATATAATTATGAATATAATTTATATT